TGCAGCGGGGGGGACCCCGCGCTCAGGCGAGGAGGAGTCTGTGCTCTCTGGGGAGGGCGGGGAGCTCATGTCGTCGAGCTGCGTGAAGATGCCTTCACTGGAAAAGTCGTCAAAGACGTGCCCCGCCTCGACCGAGTCCACGTAGTCCAGGTCCTCGGGGGCACATTCGGCCGGCACCTCTGGGGCAGGGGGAGCCTTCGGGGGGGCCTGGTCGGCCTCAGCCCCTTCTGGCCAGGCCTGCAGCCCCACTGGGTTCTCCCTGCCCGGCCTCGGCTCCTCCTGGGGAGGGGGTGCTGGGGAAGCCTCCTTCACGGGCAACTTCCTCTCCGGGGAGCGGGAGCGGGAGCCAGGCCGAGACCGCTTCTCACGGGAACGAGGCCTCCGGTGCTCTCGTGGCTGTGCCAGGCGTCCCTGGAGCGCGTGCAGAGGGAGGGCGCATCCTCCCTGGACAGCAGCAGCCTGGGCCTCTGCCTGTCCAGCTTCAACAGCCTGTACGAGGACCTGGAGCACTTCCTGGATTACTTCATGGAGGTGGAGCAGCCAGCCTAGGCCGCCACGGGCCGCCCTGACCCAATAAAGAGCTACAAGCCGGTGCTAGTGTCCTGTCTAGTGGCTGGTGGTTGGGCCAGGGAGGGGGTGGTCCCCCGCAGGCCTCCCAGGCACAATGAAGACCCTTGCGTGCACACTTAGTGTTACAGAGGCCTTAAGGCTCCCTGGGCACAGCAGGGAGTGTGGCACCTGGGCTTCCTCAGTGGCCAAGGCCCAGCCCAGCCCCTAAGTCCGCCACGCTGCCCTCCGAGAGGCCTTGGAGTTGGACGAGCACTTGAGCCATATTTGTATTACATTGCCAGCTAAGAAAGCGGGGTTCCCTAAATAAGACAGGCATCCCCCCCGTCCAAGGTCCACGCTTCAGTCAAGGGTTCCCCTTTCAAGTACTGAGTCAACGAGAAGTTTCTAAAGAGAATCCGTTTCTGATAAATTAGAACACAATGAAGGTGTATCTACAATGTACACGTAACGTCCAGTTTAAACTGCGCAGGGCGGGCACAGACCACAAGTGATCTCAGGAACCTGGACACAGTGCTGGGGTCCCCAGAGCTTTCTGCTGCCGTCACTCCCACAGCACGCGGGGCCAGCGAGCCTCAGCCCTCGGCAGCGGGCTCCTCTCCGGCCTCGGGCCTGCGGTGCCGGCGCATGTGCCTGTACTTGTCCACGTAGGCCTTTACCAGGTTGCCCACCTTCACAGGGTTGATCTCCCCGCTCTTGCTGTGGCAGATCTGGGGGAGGGGGAGGCACAATTACCCAGAGGTCTTTTCACAGCCAGACATGTTCAGTGGTTGCCAGGACTGGGCCCTGGGGGCCCGCTGTACCCACCTCCCAGGGCCACTGAGGGTCCCACCATGATGGCCAGGAGCCCACTCTGTGACTGAGCCTGTTTAACAAGCGAGGGGGCCGCTGCCCTAGCACCACTCATTCCTCCCAAGCGCCCTCGTGGTGCCAGGGCCAGAGCACCTCCCTCCACTCAGACCCGAGGCCGTGCCAGCGAGACGGCAAGGCCCGCCAGCGCCCACCTTCTGCACGGCCTTGCGGAGGATGTCCTTGTACTCCTCCTTCGTCACCTCGCGCTTCTGGTAGAAGGGCTTGATGGCCAGCTTCACCTCCTCCACCGCCCGCTCCTGCATGTGCAGCTTCTTCAGGTACTAGGGGCGAGCGCAGGGTGAGTGCCGTGCCCAGGCCTGCAGGGCCCTTGGGGGAGCCCAGCGCTTCCTGCCGTCCTGCCCGTCCCAGGAGGATGGAGAGGGGTCTCACCTCCTCGTTCTTGGCTTTCTCTGTGGCTGGCCGGGGAGTGGCCGTCCTCTCCTCGGAGTTGTTGGTGGCGGCAGCGTGGCCAGCCGGCTCAGAGGCTGTGGTCAGGACGGTGGGCACTGGGGCCAGGCTGGGTGCCGCCCCCCTGCCCGCCAGCGGGAGGCTCCCTTGCAGGATGAACTGCACCGTGGGCTGGCTGACCGGTGCGTAGGGCGGGACACTTGAGGGCAGAGCCAGGGCGGGAGGCAGGCTGGGGCCATAAACCTGGGCAAGAACAGTCCGCTGAGCGCAGCTTCGATGCTGGCAGCACCCCGGCCAGGCGCAGCCCTCGTGGCCCACGGGCAAAGTTACCTCCCCCCGCAGCCCTGACACCCACCTGGGCGGGGTCTGCAGTGGGAAAGCCAGGCTCTGGAAGCGTGTAAGCAGGAGGGGGCTCGGGGCAGGGTGCCTGCTGGGAGTCCACCACAAGGCCTCCGTCTCCGGGTTCCCACGCCTCTTCCTGCGGCTGCTGGGGCCTGTGCAGTGGGGTCCCTGAGGGCCAACACGGGGAGGTGGGTGTTCTGTGACCACCCAGGACGGAACCTACCTCCCGCTGCAAAACTCCAGAGCAGCATCCCAGCACCAAGGACACAGGCTGGATGCAGCCACCTCCCTACCAGAGTGACCCCGGTGCCCGCTCTGTGCCATCCTCCGGGGTGCCCCGGCCCACCTGTGAGGCCACAGGAGCCCCTACTCACGCAGGCCTCGGTCCTCAGCCAGAGCGCCACCCGCCGCCTCCTGCAGGTTCCAGGTGACCCTCTTCACGGGGGCCTTCGCCCGAAGTACGGAGGTCAGGCAGAGGCCTTCCTCCTTCCCCAGCAGCGCCCCGCCCCCGGCCGGGCCTCCCAGGGCACCCG